CACTGGCTGTCGACTGAGGCAGAACAGGAGGGCTACAAGTAGAAGAGACCTCACAACGTTATCACAGATAACCAGGTCTCTATCGGAGAAGAGACCAACCCTGATGATGAAACCAATAAAAGATGTTGAAGGAGACCTGATTACCAAGAAGAAGGAACAAATAAAACGACAAGTTGGTTACTTCGAAGGACTATTGAGTGGTCCTGCACTTGCAACTCGCCCAGAAATACCGGCACCACCACCACCAAAACGCACAGAACCGCCTGTCAGTGAGCACCCATCTGCCAAGAAAGGTAGAAATCCTGGATGTGATCAAGCTACTGAAGTCCGGAAAGGTAGAAGGTCCAGATGGAGTCCCCCCGTCGAGGCACTGAAAACGGACCCACAGGCTACTGCAGATGTACTCACGCCGTTACTACAAAACGTTTGGAAAGAAAGGAAGGTACCTACTGACTGGAATTAAGATTAGCTACCTCGTCAATCTGACAAAGAAGGGCGACCTACGCCTCTGCAAGAGCTGGCGTGGAATAATGCCGTTATCCATCACAAGCAAAACTAAGTCGCGTCATCCTAGAGACAATTAAGGGTTCGCCGGATGCAGAACTCCACCAGCCCGAAACAAGCTGAATTCAGAAAAGGCAAATCATGTGCTCATGGAATTGCAACTCGACACATCGTCATCACAGAACAGAGCATAGAATGACAGTCAAACCTCTCTCTGCCTCACCGTCGTCGACTACGAAAATGCCTTTGACAGACAGCTTTGACCGAGAAGTAATTTGGAAACTACTTCAACACAAAGGCTTGCCACAAGTCCCATTCAATAGCTATATGACAGTGCCATGTGCCAGGTGATCCACAATGGAAGTGCATACATGAGCAAGACAATGCAGCATATCTGTTATCATCGATGATACTCTTAATTGTGGTGGACCGGATGATTAGTCAGCCTCGAGAAGATACTTGTTTCGCAGATGAATTATGTTTAATATCACACAAGCTCGGAGACTTGCAGGTGAGGACAAGACTCCGGGTGAACATTTAGAAGACGGAGCTGATGAAGTTAACCGCGCACCAACAGCAGAAACAAACACCATCAATCACCATGACAGGAGAAATTTGACAGAGGTCAGTTCCTCCACTTATCTAGGCACTATCGTTTCAACTACAGGTGAAATCAATGTTGTGGACGTCAACAGGAGAATCAGAAAGGCAAGATGCGCCTTCATCAACCTGAAACCAGTTCGGAAATCTTCAACACTCATCACAGGGAACAAGATTCTCATCTTCAACTCCAGTGTCAAGTCGGTCCTTCTATACGAGTCAGAAACTCGCCCAGCGTTTCAGGAAGACGATTTCCAACACGGCAATGCAGACCTCCATCAACAGCTGCCTTCACTTGCTTCATACTGAAATCGAATGGTAAGAAATAATTAGTAACAAGAAATTCTGGCTGGCATGCAACTAACCAACCAGGAGCTGATTACCCAACAAATTATTATTATATCCTTTAATTCCTAGAGGAACATAGGGCTTCAGCTGCGCATCTCCATTGTCTTCGGTTTTCTTCCAACTTTTTCACCCCGCTCCAAGTCTGCCCACATGCTTTCATCTCCTCCTCACATGACCTCCTCCAAGTCACCCTCACACTGACGACCAACTCGCCGCCCGCTTCCTTTTCGGGTTCTACTCGAGCAATGGCTTGTCTAGTGATGTCACTTGATGGTTTCCTCAGCGTATAGCCAGCCAATCCATCTCCATTTCTTCCTGCCTATTTGTTTCACAATCGGTTCCTGCTGGGTCGGTTCGCTCATTGCCAGAGATCCCTGTTGCTGATCTTTTCTGGCCGGCCATCTGATCTTGAGTATTGAGCGAAGACAACTGTTAATGAAAGTCTGTAGTTTGTTTGAGATGCTCTTCATGACGCGAAGTGCAAGTCTCTGATCCGTACAGTAAGTAGCACTGACTCACTTCACACTGGAGTTGAAAATCCGGATCTTATTTTTGGTGCTGAGTGCTATTGACCTCCACACAGACTTAAGGGTAATGAAAGCTTGTCTTGCTTTTCCGATTCTAGCTTTGATGTCCTCGTCAGTTCCGCCTGTAGTTGAAACGATGCTTCCCAGGTAGGTAGGTAAAGGAGGTTGTTTCTTTCAGGTTCCTCCCATTTATGCTGGCTGATTGTTGTCTGTTGTTGTTGTTGACCAGGAATCTTCATCACCTCTGTTTTATCTATGTTCACTTGAAGCCCCATCTTTGATGCTTCTTCTGCCAGCTTGTTGCTTTTCACTTGAATATCCTCTAGTTTGTGGGAAATCAGACATATATCATCAGCGAAGTGGACATCCTCCAAGTATTTTGTGTTTGTCTATTTAATGCCTGTCTCCTCATTGCCTGTTGTCTGTCGCATTATCCAATCTACTGCAATCAGGAAGATCATTGGCGATAGTAGACAGCCTTGTCTCACTCCCATCCTTACTTCGAAGGCTTCCGTACGTTTCCCGTTGTGGATTACTTGGCTTAGTATTTTGCTTGGAACGGACAGGAGCATAATTTCGCGCCAGTTTTTGCATTGGCTTAAGTCTCCTTTCTTTGGTAGTTTGAATAATTATTCTTTATTCCAATCCTCGAGTACTTTGCCCTCTCTCCACACCTATATATATAGTTCCGCTATATTTGTTGACCCAACAAATATATAGGAGAAAATGAAAATGGATGGGGCACACATTGAGGGAATTGTCTAATGACATTGAGCGCAGTGCAGTCCCAGTGGGAAGCTATGAGTGGGTCGTTGGCTCGACGCTGACAGGTAGGAGATCGTGCGAGGAGGAGATGAGATTTTATTGGCAATTGTCGACCCAAGAGGACAGCGGAAACTAGATGAAAGTGCAGATGTATTGTTGAAGCCCTGCGTTCCACTCGGAACTCAAGGGAACAATGAGAACAATAATAACACAGGTTGGGCTTGCACTAAATTCAAGGAATTATCTGTAGCTTTGAAATCAATGTACCAGGAGATTCGTCTCATTGTTAACGGCTTTTTCCGGGTATCTATTATCACGAAACAATTTTCTGAGAAGTCTATGCGGATGACGACCAGGTTTAGGTCACTGATAGTAAAAGTCCAAGTCTGCTGTCACGTAAATACATGGTTCAGAGTCTCTAGGAAGCCAGTTTGCTGAGCTACTTGAGGAAGCTCAAACCCGTTTCTGACCGGTTGCATCAAGAAATAACTCTCACAGTTGTTGTGTGGCCATGTGTCCCGCTAGATATGTGCTTTTCCCACATCACCCGCCGACTCTTTAAACACGCCTACATAACCTAGTGGTCAGACTAGAGAATAGAGAACATAACTCTTACGCTGTTCAGTGATGCTTTAGCGGTGGTATGAAAGGAGTACAGATATGTAAGATCACATCACAACACACAGTTGAGGTATTCTCCGAAGAACTTGACTGTTCATAATCTGATCCAGTCAGTGCAGATAGCCAAAGTGACCTGTGAAAGTGAAACGACTGAGACTCAATTGAATGGGCGTTGTAGTAATTTATTGTAGTCGTAGTATTAGTATTTCAAGATGACCGAATTACACGAATCCAACCAAAACACAGAGAGGGCAGAACTCAGGAATTTGTATTTAGCGGAATTATTATGCAACTCATATAAGAAATATTAACAATCAACAGTAAGTATTTAAACAATACAGAGATAGAAATTGTCAGTCACCACAGGCGTATTTCTTTGGTCCCTAACAGGTCAATATTTTCTTTCGAAAATCTCAATCTGGTTCTACTGTGAGCCTGTACTGTGATGCGGTACTAATATAACAATTCCAACAGGGGTGTGAACACGGGCAGTAATTTTGCTCGAAATATTACCAATAACGAAACTTATCATTGTGTGTAAACCATTGAAATATAGTTATACTTTATTTAATATAACCCCGATTTGATCTTTTAGTTTGGTGCTGAGTACAACAAGAAGTGTAATGTCCCGGAACCCCTTCTGAGTAGTCGCTACCTGTGTTCTTGCTATGTTCATGTTAAATAAGTTCAACAACTGTGAGATGTTTCTTAAATTACTTTCCACTGCGTAAAAGATTCCATTATCACAATCCAAACATCAGATATTCACTTTGTCCTACCATAAAAAGGACAACGGAGCTGAACTGTCCAAATAGAGATAGACCAAGGCATTAATTGTATTTACTAATTAGAATTCATCAACAAATGGCATGGCAACGCCTCGAAAAGCACGCTAGGACACCCCACAAATTACACTGGAAACTGCTTTTGCTTCCTGCAAGGTAGTGCAAGATTGTGCTTCGGGAGATTAAGGGAAGTATGCACTTACGCAGAGTACGATAAATTTGAAGGTAAGTTCTTTTCCTCTAAATACTGTAGCAACTGTTCTGATTAGAAAATAGACATATCAAAGACTAGATTCGCAATCTGAAATATGAGGTATGTTTTGTGATCAGAAACATGGGAAGAAGATTTTTCAAGTAACTACGGCGGGCCAAATGCCGTGGATGTTCGACCGTGAATCTTCAGCTTAACTAGTCGAGTAAGCGTTGCGTTTCGGCGTCCAATGCTGAGCAAAAATGCTTTGTGCCAATGACACAAGGAGATTGTATACCTTCACAGTGCTTTTGGTTAAAACAATCTATCATGGTCAATTTCTTCTCTTAGCTTACTGCAAGCATTCCCCACGTGCTTACAAGGTTGTACATCACGCAAGTAATCAACATAATCCCACTTCTACCTATTTATCCTGCGAACTGCTGGGCACCGAGGATGGCATAGCTCTTGTCTCTAAGCCTCAACATAAACTAACGGTATCAACAAAGACATGTACGAACCTCACAGTGACTACAGCTCATGAAAGTCGTAAGTAAAGAAGCATAGAAATTTTTCCTTCTAAGCGTGGCTCAAAGTTTAGATTTCAAAGCCCTCTAAATTATTTTCATTCCCTGTTCTGCTTTTGGGATACATTGAACACAGGAACTCAGTGTAGTACGCGGAGGCGCTGACTATCATTTTTGTATTCTGCAATGGTCGAGGATGAGTTTTATTCTTTCTGGAAGTCTCTGGGGCCCGTAAGATCTCTCAATTTCACTTTAAGTTATTTTAATTTCAGAAGCCACCTACAACTTTAAGGTGCTTCGAAAGAGGAGTAAGTCACATGATTCAAAATTTATCTTCAGGAAATTATGACTCTTCATGATGCAGACGCCCTTCTTGTCGCCAAAGATTACTTCAAAAATCCGTCTCTTGTGAAACGATTCTCAGGGGGAAAGTCCAACATGTCCTACGTAACAATCAAAAGACAAAACACAGATTTCCTGAGACATTTTCTCCTAAAGCGACAGTATCGCATTGAAGTATATTGTTCGAATACGAAGAGTGGAAGGGACAATGGTTGGATTCTCAAATTTAAGGTTTGTACCTAATGAGCCTAAAATGATTATAGGTTTCCCCTGGAAACTTGGGTCCAGTTGAAGATATTCTAATGAGTGCGTCAGATTCAATTGAAGCCAGTGGTCTCTGTTCATTGAATGTCAAGCAAGTGAACGAACAGTTCGTAAGTTTTGGTCCTCTAGTCTCGAGATCTCGGCTTAGGATTGTGTATGCACCCTTCATTTAGTCTGTTCTTATATCGTGTACACCGGATAAGGATATTGGCATAGATAGACGTTACCATCGTTGGATTTACCGTTACGTCATGGGTATTCATGCTGGCCCAACTGGGATGGTTATTTTAAAGCTAGGCACAGTTTCTACTAGGGTCATCACTTTTACTAACATTCCCTTATGTAATTGCCTAAATCTAATTCATCTACCTACTCTTACAATGTACTATGATATGTAGGTTAGTTCCACGTGTTTACAGAATGTGAACAGTTCTTACTGAGTTGCAGTTATCATTATTTATTATTATTCCCTTAGGTCGCGATTAGAATATCCACTTCCGATGGTACATATTTTATCCCGTTCTTTGCAGTTCTCTTTAATTGTCGATTGCTCATAAGCTCTCATCTCATACTATCTCCATGTCACTGTCGAACGTCCAACTGGTCGTTTCCCGTTTGGTTTCCATTGGCCGTGAGAGCGCGATGTCACTTAGGCGTGTCAGTATGTATTTGATTCATTTCCATTTTCCTCGGCGTATTTGTTGGACAGTAGGTTCTTATCTGGTCCTTTGCGAGAGTTGCAGTAATAGGTGGTGGTTACCGCTACAGACCGTGTGATTATCTAGTTATAACATCCCTCTCCATATTTCCTGAATTACTAAGTGCGTGTAGGCACTACTTTGTTACGTGCAAGATCGGAAATAATGCATTTGTTCGTGTTTGCCCTACTTCGCTGAGGTATTAGAGTTGCTAATCCTCACTCAGCACATCTAATTTATCCTAACTGAATAGCCAACGATCTTGTGCTTGCCGTTTCTTATTAGTGACAATAATTAACAGTGAATCTAACATCTATGCTTAGTATATTGATGTGTTCTTGATTTCACAGAATGAAGAGTAGAATCTTAACCCTCACATAGGACTAACTAATTTCATCCAATGTCATCATCTTCTACAGTATTAGTATCGCGTTTTCTCCTCGTAGAATTTGGCTCGCATAAAAGCCGAAATCAATTTATTCCTAGGTTTCAATCCATTGATCTGTTGTCAAAGGCGGATACTAAGAGCAGTCTTAAATTTTGATTTTGTGACCTACTTATCGAAAGTTTTGTGATAATCAGCTAATCTTACCATAGTAAAAATGAATTCAAAAGCAACTTTTGAAGTTGCCAAGACCGTCAGCACTTTGTATTACTCCCATTCCTTTTTCTCATGCAAGTTGTTACTCTTATAAATCCGTACTGTCCTGACATCTTCAAAAGTAAGAGTGGGCATATTTGTTCTTGCACAATTTGCATTAATATCGTCCAAGTCTTATGAAGACCCTAAGTAGACCTCTTTATTTCAAGAATTTCTGAGCCTTCCCAATGTTTTAGTTTTTCCTTCTGTAGCATTTTGAAGTGATCCGATTGACGTAGTCTTGTGGGAATCAGCACAACTTAAATATTACTGATTGCACCTGAGATGAACGATACTGAAATGCTTACGACAATTTGCAACCTAAAACGATAACTAAGCAAGCCATGCAGCCTATGTTTTCTAACTTGCTTACGAGGTCCCTGCGTGGAGATGTGGCACTGAATTTTCAGTCGGTGGATCACAGGTTCGAGTCCTGCTCTACCTACTTCAGTCTGGGCTACTGAGTAGTACCCTCAGCCCTCACACGGTAAATCTGGCTCTTAGCCTGGTACGTGAGAAATATGTTTCGGGTAATTAAGTCTGAAAAGCACAGATTACTGACGTTTCATACCATGTAAGTGTAGTAGCAATGCTTCTTTATCCAATCACACGTAGATGGAGTAAGTCCGAACATGAAGTTGGGTGATGCTACATTACTGCACTAATCCTTATTATGGACTTTAGTTCTTGAACTCATCTTCACCGAAGAACTTTGCCCAAGAGTGCAGGAGTCCGCTTGGCCACAATCTGAATGACACACGAATAGTAGACAAAAAAAATCGAAAGAAATATAATGAACGGAAATGTATGGGAGAAGGAATAAGCACGCAAAGAATAACGGGATTTTGACGAATCTAGTTCATAGCGAGTGAATGATTCTCTGCTACTGCAAATGACTTTGAGCCATATATATCATCAACAGCCTAAGGCCACTGGTTCTTAGCATCCAAATGAACCCAACCTGGGAGTTTACACCTCCCTTCGGGGTTCAAACCAATAGTAAAAATCTTCCTACAATGATACCATGTTTCTATTTCACCGTCCCTAACAGTTTTCCAACGTAATCGAATGTCAGCTAAGATAAGGAAGGTGTTGAATTGAGATTTTTGGCCTCACAACGTCATCGATTGACCTACTCTCCTTGCCCAACACCACGCCTAACCTCAATATTACTTACCATATTACCCCACCTGGCACGGGACATAGACCGCAATTACCTGTAGTCAAAGCCAACCAGCGTCTTTAAGTCCTTCATCCTTATCCTTCACGTCTCAGCGATAAAGAAGAGCGAACTCCTATGGGGTACACATCCTTTGATGGATAGCCAGATACCACATGCGCCAGGAAAGGAGTCGGAAACCAGTCCTGGAGCATCATCCTATATTTGACGAGGGCCACTCGTATACCAAGCATACGAATGTTTTTGTTCAAACTGTTCAGAAGACTATTTTGTCAGTGACTTCACGCTGAATGGCTATACCGTCAACAGACAAGTTAGTGAATAAGTAGCTGAAGTCAGCTAAGGTCTCATCCATTTGTACTATGAAATTAGGCGAAAATGGAGATACTAGGCATCCTTGACGGACACCATTGTTTGTCTTGACAACTGTCCATAAGCTTTTATGTGGTTGCGAGAATTCGATTGCATTCATTAGTGCGGTGTATTTCCTCAACAGCCCCTTCATGGCCAGACAATGTCTACGGAGTCAAATTCTGTCTTCAGGCAAATAAATACGGCAGGTGTTGGGTGCCAGTAAGTATCCTTATGTTTCATAATCTGCCGAAAGGCGAAATTATAATACACCCTCTTTCTATCCTTAAAGTCCAACTGGTTTGCATTTGTTTCTCGCGAGCACCACTTAGTCTAGGTATGGTTATGAAATCTAGAATTCTAGGTATATGCTAATCAAGCGAATCTTTCCATGATTATCACTGGACCACTTGGTCCCCTTCCTATTAATTAGGATAATCAATGGTTAACGCTAGCCTGACGGGACTATCTGAGATTCCCAGACATTAGTAATTGTCTTAGTTAACCCCAATCAATAGTTTGTCATCACTATCCTTAAGCACATCAGGAGTTGTTCCGTTGGGTCCCACTGCTTTGTTACGTTTTAAATTAGCCATAGCTCTCGCAACTTAAGTTACGGTTGGAGGAGTGAGATCTACATCTACACAGGTAGTTGTTGTACTGTGAGCAAGTTTAACGAGGCTGTAGGCTAGTTGAATCGCTCCTTGAAGAGTTCTTTCCAACGTCCCAGTTGTCTATTCGGTAAAGTCATTGGAGTACTTTCCTTGTTGGGAATCATTTCGCTCACCATTGGTGTTTTACAAACAGTTTCTGCAGTTTGTATAGTTGTCTGGTGTTACTTAGCACCAATGCCTTTTCCATTTCTGGCTTTTGTGGCCCACAGATTTTATGGTCACTTCAGAGTCCTTAACTCAGTCTGTTTCTGAGTAGCTTTTGCTCCTCATTATTGTTCGGAGTCCACCGGAATCAGTCTTCTAGTGTGTAGTATTTTGGGAGAATCAGCGTAAGTCTTGTGGCATTTATTAAACTTCGGCTGCGAGAAATCGCCTTACAACATGTTTTTGAACCGCAAGCCGCAGATAGAGTTGGTCTTCCAATTATCTGGTGAACATACTTTTGTAGAGTGGGCGTCTAAGTTCCAGTTTATTAATTGCTTTAATTTCTCCGATGCATTTTCTGTTAGTTGTATGAAGTCATATCTTTTGACTGACAATTGCCGACTGTAGACATTGTCCAGGAAATTTAAATAATATGAGTAGTTTTGTCTGTTTGGCGTTGAGAGCATCACTGATGTACTCCAATTGATCTAAGCTTCTTATCTTAGTACTTACTGTTTGTCATATTTACCTTTAAAAATGAGTTATTCTTCACTGAGGTATTTTATTACCCTTAAACTGGCCTAAATTTTGATTCTATTTCAGCACATACATTTAGCTTTTTGTCACAAAGAAAGCAGGAAGTTTCTTATTGGTGAATTTGTTGATTCTGTACATTTGGCGAACTTGGAGACTGCCCTTGTTCAACTTGAGGCAAGAGAATGCCTTATACCTGTTGGACTCGTTTCACGTCCGGATGTTTCAAAACCCTCTGAGATTACTGCTTTAGAAACAGCTGTTTCAGAACACATTGGCCTTATTTTTGAACGAACGGGGATTTTAGCTACTGAACTAAAGAAGAGTAAGTTCTTTCACTAAGGTTATTGTGAACTGAAGAATGTATTTACCCTTGTTCTATTTTGTTGCTCATAATTTAAACGCAGCTTTAGATAACATGTATTTCTGTTTACATTATCCTAGATAATTCACTTGTGGTGAATTAAGTTTACCGGAGTGAGGTAAAATATCCTTGGTATTAACTTCCGGTTGTAGTTAACAAATAAACAGATTTGGTCAAACCTATTATTTCTATAGTTCCTAAGGATTTAAAGACCTAATCGACAGACTGCTTATGACAAATAAATTCCACCCGAGGACCGAAGAAGAGTTTAATATTCCTGACGTTTTAGGGAAGACGTTTCAGGCTTCACAAAAGAAAAATCGATGAGGTCTCGCACGTAATTATTATATTGAGGCTTATTGTATTACTTCTCATAATTACTATCTACGAGAGCAGGCGGAAAAACAGTATTAAAGGCAGGTTTCTTTGAAGTAGTGTGCTAATTAGATGAGTCCAGATTTAACAAGTACCTTTCTCACATCATTCCAAAATTACAAATTTACATGCACTTGTAGTTGTGACTGCATTGCGAAGAGTAAGAGAAGTCATTTCATATGATCTTCCAATCAAATCTGAGGAAACGTATGTTTCAAGAAAAGCAGGATTATGACATTTTTTGGGTCCTTAATGATGTTCAACGTTTTGAACACTGAAAGTACTTCACGTCTCAGAAACAACTAAAGTATGGCATTTCACCCATATTTATATATATCAGAATAATGCTAAAAAGTTTCTACTCAATTCATAAATTTTAATATATGCCCAACGTGTTTAAAGGACTATTGCCGTAGAGGTCCAGCAGAAGAAACGGTGGGCTGATCATTCCAAAGGACTGTTGAATCTCAGAAAAAGTACCAGCAGACAGAACTACCAGTAAACACCGACTCACCGAAAAAAATCAAGTTTTAAAGACCGTAAAGTTAATGAAAGACAAGGAGTCGTCAAGACTAGATGGAATTCCCCACAAGTACTGAAAACGTACCAGAATACTTTAATAAGCATACTCATCCCACCATTACCGAAAGTGTGGAAGGATGAGAAGGGACCGTGCTTTGTCAAGTCTCCAAAAGAGGACAACTAAATCCTGTGCAAGGACTGGAGCGGAATCATGCTTCTGTCCACTCCAAGCAAAATAGCAGGCCGGTTCATCTGGGAGAGACTAAAAGATGTCCTGCATAAAAGATTTCCCCCAGAACAGACTAGTCTCAGAAAAAAGTAGTCATTAAGGATCAAATTGAAACACTAGGCTCCATCATCGCATATAGCCTAGAATGGTAGTCAGCTTTTTACTTCAACTCTATTTTGAAATAGTATTCGACAGAGTTGTCTGTGTAGTAAGTTGGCATATACTTCAGCACTACGCAAATTTTGACAAACCTCATTCAACAGCTGTATGACAAGGCTACTTGTCAAGTGATTCACAAACAGGAAGCAAGGTCGAGTGCTTGAAATGAAGGCAGGAGTAAGACGAGGATACCTATTACCAACTATGATCTTCCTAATTGTGGTGGACTGGGTCATGCGGTAGACCGTGGGAAGCGAGAAAACGACTGACAAAAAGACTTAAGAAAATCTTAATTTCTCAGGAGATTTATTTCTCATGTCTCACAGACTCGGAGATTTACAAGGAAAAGTGAGTAAGTCGGCAGAGGAGACAGCGAAGGCAGGAGCTTACGCCGGTATAGAGATGACAGGGATGATGAGAATACCTAGCTAACAATAACAAACACCAGTTAACATCAATGGGAGGGATCTCAAGAAAGTTCTCTTCCACTGACCTAGACAGGCAGTATCGCTTCGTCTACAGACAGGAAGAATGAGAATGTCAAGGATCGAGAGAGTAAGACAAGTGTTTATTACTCTGAAAGCAGTATGGAGGGCTACAGCACTCCACAACAGAAAGACGGTCTCAAAACTTTAATAGCAATGCTAAGTCAGTGCTTCCATACGACTCAGAGGTGGAAACCGAAAAGGATAGCGCGAGCTGGGTGACTGAAGAGAACGGAGTGCAATGAAGATGTGAATTTTTATGTTCCTCTGCAAACACAAGAAACGAATAATTATTACAATAGGTTTTATAGTTCACGTCAAAATACTCATGTAGTAGTATTGGGTTAATTAACAGTGGTATTATGTTATGCAGCCGATTTTCTGAAATCAAAAGGCAGGGTGATCTCATGACATAATTATTTAATTAGATTAAAACCCAAGAAGTTTTATTTAACTTTGCAGACTTTGGTACTTTCATACGGTAACTAGTATCGAATTAGGAAGCTGTGGGTTGTCTTACCGTGTTCCTCAGGAATGCAATAGTTGACAATTGGTGACTGTGGTATCTCTTGAATTAGTTCCCAGTAACATGTACATTTCCACTCTTTATTATGTGAATTCTGCATATAACTGATTCACATTTCCTCTCATATTCATTTTTGTTTATTACAGTATCGTTTATACGCTTATCACCTTCAATGTTGTATGTTATTTTGGGTTGAAATAATGCAGTTATGTAAAGTTCTTATTTAATTTGTCAGCTTGTTTCGTCTTCATATTGGTTACTGTTTAGCTTTCATTCCATCACATCTTTTTGTTATTTGCCAAAGCACCCGCTTTATAGCCAACAAACTGTAACCCAATTCTTGAATTATTACTTTAAATTTTCGACTTTAACAACTTATTGTGTTTCTGTTTCAGCTTTTCAAGTATATTTTGTTTCTTCCATAATCGTATTAATTTCTGCAGCTATAAAAGGTGTGAGATAAAATGATACAGCTTTGTCCTGCTACTTCCTACCACTAATCCTGTCACTACACATGAGACCAAAAATAGAACATATACGCCTATGGTCAAAGACGGCTGGTCTTTTCACATCTTCCACTTGAATAGTCTAATCTCACTACTGTGAAGTGTGATGGGGCGGATTACTGTTTAACTTGTCGTTTGGTGGATAGTCAGGCATTATAATGAAGCTAGCTGGTAAATGAGAATCTATCTCTTTGTATGCGTAATGTGGTTTCGTGAGCAATTAGTCTACCAAATCTGAGATAGCTTCCAGGTTTAGTGAACTGCTTAACACGCTCAACCATTTCACTCTTTATCCTTGAACTAGGAGTGAGTGCAAACCAGTTTTGCAGCATCAGCTTATATTGCACAGGGGTGAACTGTATATCAAATACACTAAGTTTTGTTTCCAGAAGACTGCATTTTTAAACATCATCTACGTACTGTAGATTAATGAGACTATTCCATTATGACAAGTCTATCAGTTGATATGCCGAAGTCAAAGTCATATCTATCAGAACACCTAAAGTGAAATTAGAAAAAAGACGTGAACAGCAAACAAAGCCTTTTTCACGGATTCATTTTCAAAAGCGTTACAATCGTGTTTATACTTAACAAAGAATTCAAAAGACCAGTCGGATACTGGTAAATTCGTCCTAGAAAATGCATTACTCAGTACAAGTTGTAATCTAGAACAGGATGGCAGAAGTCAAATATCATGTTCATGTTAGGAAACATAAGTGTACGACGCTGAACGTAACGGAAGCGCAAACTGTTGTCTAATAATAATAAGTATGCTCAAGCAGGAATTTTATTGTTTTGAAATAGGACTGCGAACACCCAGTATTCATTTCTTTCCAGTTTTTACCTTCTCATGTTTCTGGTCTTAATTTATTTGCGATTTTTCTACCATATTAGTTATTTTGTGACCTCTTGTATCTCAGGTGAATTCTCGCATGCGAATTGCGTCCAAGATTTGGGTCACCTTCTGCGGTCTTCACAGAAGGAGTGTGCTAATGTCTCCATAATGTATGAAAAAGGTAATTGAGTAATTTTTTTCGGTGTCTTCAGAATAAACGTGTGTTGTATGTGTGGAGGTCTTGAAGTCGGCAGTGCTTTTAAATTTTACTTTTTTGTCATTTCCTTAGTCGGGATATCGACCTTTTAAGGTTACTGGTGACTTCACATATTGTGTGTGTAGTTAATTATTCTCGTATGTGATCGGGAAATCCACTGTTTTTTAAAGTCAATGAATGTAGACCTTGTCACCGAATTTGTAACGTCTTTCGGTAAGTAGAATGGTTGATATGCATAATAGAGGGATGTATGCATACAGAATGGAAGACCATAGCTGAAAAGTATGATGTCATACTAATTGAGTTTTGAACCTGGAACTTCGCACAAAAGTGTAGCAGTCCAAGATACCACACTACAAATAACACACTAAGGTAAAGAAAAATGTCAAACGAACATACGGGAGAATAAATAAATAACTGGGGAACAATGGGAATTTAGCGGATCTGGGAGTTCACAAAGAATAAGTACATCTGCACTTTTGGGAACAATTTTGAACCATGTAACCAACAATCTCAGCTATTGGTTATTAAAGTTTTGAGGATCCCAGCCAGACTCGACGTGATGGGCTATTTCTAGATATACTGATTCCACAGCAACAGTGGCCAGACTTTCTTTTTTATGTACAAAATTCTGGCTGTTTCAATGGGTTTGTCATTTGAATCGTTCAGTTTCTGGTGGCTTTCCATAGTTTATAAGGTACACGCTGGGTAATTGAAAAGATTTCTGTTTAGACCGGACTAGTAGTTCTTTTTATCACATCTTTATTTAGACACGTTGGTGTTGCCAAGCACCTAGAATCAGGTTCCCAAAGCAACAGGTAATATAACCTTGCTCCACAATTACAATTTACTGCCACTAGAAGTTCTCTGAGTCGATTTATGATTTTAATTCGAAGTCATATGCTTACTTATGAACTCTGGAAACTTATTGTAAATTAGGATATATGCTATATTTAGCTGATCTTCAGTCACATTTCCGGGCATCTAGCTCTCACCATCTACCTGAATGTCTTTACTAAGTTTCTTGTGCACTGTGTTGTGCCTAGCTCATGTTCTCTTCCCGGATTTCTTTTTTTGTTGCCGTTTGATCCCTTTAAGGGAAGAAAAATACAAGAGGGGAAACTCTTCTACTCACGTAAATTTATCTCTGTATGTGTTTCGTGCATCTCCAACAGAAAAAGGTTGCTAGCCCTAGAGACTTTTGGGAAGGGAGGTGACTGAAGAAGTCAGTTACTCCACTTATTAGCGAAAGTGTATCAGCCTTGTTGAATTTTTTTTTCTTGTCGAGTAGTATTAGTGCATATACAGATAACCTTCTTCTAAGTTCATCAACATGTGTTAGTGATATTTCTTTGTTATTATCCAGAAAGTATGTTAATTTTTGTTACCAGTAGGCTTTTGTGTACCGTACGAAGTTAGGAGACGACTAGTATTTATAAAGCTAAATCAGAATCCTAATATTACTTTAACAATCCTCTTCAAAAGGGTACTTGTAAAAATAAATGTTTTTGTTTGTTTGCAGAATTTCTTCTCAAAGGTGCTTTGGCTTGTCTTAGCGCGATAATCACCTTTTTGGATGTAAGTTTCCATTTTTGCCCCCCCCCCCCTCCTCAACTCCATATATCCATAAGTCATAAGTTGACTTTACTGTGAATGCAAAAGTTTGTTATTCTACATCAGTGATTGTTTGATTGAAAAAAACCCACATTAATGATAAATTATTCTTTGCAATTATTTCGGTTAATAAACTTGAACAAAGCAAGAATAATGAATTAAGTGGGATAATGCGACTATTATTTTACTACATAAATAGAGATATACAAAAGATTTGGATAGGATCCATTACACTAAAATTGTATACAATTCTCAGGATCTGACAAAATGTATCATATTTTTTTGTTCAACTTGCTATTCCCACTTTATTCATCAAAGGCCGAAGTTGGAATTTATTGGCCATTGGGTCGGGTCCCAGTGGCTTATTGGTCTACGATCTCGCCTTGTAACCGGAAGGTTCTGGGTCCAAATCCTGGTGGATGCACACTGATGATGGGTAGCCTCAAACTAGGACGAAACAGACGTTGTTGACTGCAGGCGTATTTGGCACTTGTTCTGTCTAAATTTGAAACATAGGCGTAATATAAAGTTTACCTGTTTACTTGTCAAAGTTCACTGAGAGATACAAACTGAAGCCACTAGAAAAGAGGAAACGAGTGACACAGTTATGAAGATTCGAATCAGGTGTCAAGAGTTTTCCAGCATTAGAATAGATATGAATCAATAGAATAAAAAGACGGCAACAGTGACCACATAACGACGGCCATTTGATTGGTTTGTCAGACAACCCCAAAAGTAAGCAGTGAAGAGATTCAAAAGTCAAAGGTAAGACAAGAGCTTTAAATTGAGTATTGAGTGCAACAATCTCCATCACAAATCAGAATTTGAATGGAGACTTTGTTACCGCTTATGTGTGAAACTTAAGGAACACCTTCTTACAAGTAGGGTTTTAGAAGACAATGGTAAAATGACAAGTAAGGTGCCGAAGGACTAAACACCTTGATGACTCCTGAAATACCTGGGTATCGTTTTATGAGAGGAACCTTGTCGGAATCAACTTCACACTTGAGAAATAGGTGGCCAACTTTGAATCCATGGGAGGTTTTATTTGATTCATAAGAAGTGTGTTTACTATCTAATGGGTTTTAGATATTTTGTGCATTATAAATCGTTACTTCGTCTTTGGAGAGGTTTCCAGTATCATTTTAAGTGTCTTTGAGTAAATTGTTGATACACTGCGAAATCTTCGCTAGAATATAGTTGTTTCTTGTTAGGCCAAAAGTATGGTGGGAAGACTAAAATTTAGTCTGTTTTCAGTAATTATTTGCATATTTTTATATTCGTACAGTATCTACTTTTATTAAGAAAGAAGGCTAGTACTTTTAGTGACGTCACAATAGAACAAGTAAACATGCACCTGTGCAGACAACTATGTCCTTTTATACAACCGTTTTAATATGAAGGCAGAAGTACGTGTTTGAAAATGAATGAATTCAATGTAGTGTTTTTGAATTCTTTGTCGATTTAAATACTCTATGCATCAGTGTTCGAGCATACTTTAAAGTGTGCTCCACAGAGAATGCAATTCTACTGAATTTGCTCTTCACTGTTTGTATCAGGTATGTATAATCAGCTGAAAGTTAGTCGAATTATGTCCTTCCTTTTTTTTCATTTGATCAAATGTTTTTCTTTACTAAACGTGATTTTTCATCTTCATATTTCACAGTAATTTCACTACTTTCATATTTAGTACTCAGTGATTGATCTGTTTCCTTATTTCTTCTAGTTGAAAGCTGATGATATGAACGTTAATACGTTCATTTTAGAGAAATTCAATCTTGAAAACTATGTACGCCTGGATAGTGCTGCAAGTAGAGCTTTGCACTTATTGCCTGGACCAGACGATAGTGAGTTTTATTTACTGCATGTTACGTTCTATTGATTGTTATCCGCATGCATCACAGGCATAACTGAATTATTCATTCATGATACAAATCAAATTACGCTTCCACTTGACAATACCTTCTAAGTTAGGCTGAGGCATTGCATGCATACAAATTGGACGAACAGACTTTTCTTAACTCTATACTTTTTGTGAGTTTAAGGTATTAGAAGAGAAATTATTATTTAAAATCCATATCAAATTTCAGACTCACGTGGTGTAGTGTATACTTTGAAATTCACCCTTACTGATTTCGACAGTAGACATCATATTTTTACCAAGTTAATTATGAAGTCAACCATGTTATCTAAAATACTTTAAATGTGTACCGTAAATTATCCATTCTCACATGCACTTGTTCTCTGTTCGTGGAGTGATATACCTCCTTTTTCCCAAACATTTGGTTCTCCTCAGTTAAAGTAAGCAAATGCAAATATGTAACGTTTATTTTCGTTCAGCATACTGTTCAATCATAAATCATGTGTTTGATGGTCAGGATTCAGGTTTGGAAAATTATTTTAGGAATTCAGTTATGCTGTCTTTTAATTCCTGGGCAAAATATATAGAAAAACAGGTGTGGCAATGGGATCCCCAATATTCAGATATCTTTATGGACAGTTGGAAAAATATTGCTCTTAACACATTTAATCCTATACCAAAACGTGGTGGATATTTGTGGATAACACTTTCATGGTGTTAAAAACAGAACATACCTCTAGCTTCTTGACACATATAAATTCATTAGTAAAGGGAATATAATTCACATTTGAATCGGAAAATGAACCAGGCGAATTAGCTATGTTAGATTGTAAAATCAATCGAATAGAAGAAGGTAAACTGCACACTAGCATTTATGAAAAGCCAACGCATTCTGCTAATAGATATGTAGATTTTAACTCGTCTCATCCGCTAACTGTTAAGGCAGGCTTAGTTAAGCGTCTAACGAACCGAGTAGTAGCACTAAGTAGTACAACAAAAGACGTAAATGATGAAATAAAACAGGTGGAAGAAGTGTTGGTAAATAACTATCCTATAAAATCCATTAGGAAGATCAAAAAGGGTCAAAAACAAAATAAAAATGATAGTGGAACTAATTATGATAGTGATAACATTAAGAGAGAACATAAGGCATCTACAGTTATATCATGTAAGGAGGAGATTCTCAATAAAGCAGAGGTTAGAGTGGTTTTTAAACCTACAAACTCATTCAGGGACAAGCTGTGTAGGCTAAAAGACCTGGTGGACCCAATTAAACAAAATAATATGATTTACAAAATAGCTTGCAATGAATGTGAGTTGGGTCAACTACATAGGTCAAACTAGTAGATCGGGGGTAATCAGATTGACGGGACATAAGAATTTAGCAAAGGTTAGAATGGTTGACCCTGTGAAGACAAATAATTTCGAAAAGCTCAGCGATTGCACTTCACGCATTAACGCACAACCACACAATAGGTTGGGAGAGGCTTAAAATTCTAAGAAGTAATATAGGTAGGTGGGAAGGCGAGAAACACATTCATCAACCTCAAACCAATCTGGAAATCTTCGTCACTCAGCATCAACAACTAAATCCCGTCGGATTTTCAATACAAACGTCAAGTCAGTTCTTCCATACGGATCAGAAACTTGGCGGGTCACAAAGAATAGTTGCAACAGGTTTCAGACTTTTATCACCAACTGTCTTCGCTCTATACCGAAGATCAGATAGCTGGGCCGGAAATAATCACCAACAAGAAACTATGGTAACAAACAAAACAAGAACCAATCGCCAACCAAGAAATATGCAGGAGAAAGGGAAGATGGATTTAACACTCACTGAGGAGGCCGCTGGGTGACATGGCACGCGCGTCAGGCCATCGAGTGGAACCCGAAAGGGAAGCGGCGATTGGGATATCAGTGCAAGGGTGATATGGAGGAGATCGCGTGAAGAGGAGTTGAAAGAGTATGGACTAACATGGATGCAGGTGAAAAGTACAGCAAAAGACAGAAGCAAGTGGAGACGTGCAGTTGATGAAGCCATATGTTCCACTAGGAACCAAAGGGAATAATAATAAATAATATAGGTAGGTAGGTGGAGACAGAGAGAGAGGTTGGTTGCTGAATCCTTGTTCATCGAGTCTACACCCAACATATGCAATAAGAATGGCTCATCACCCACGCGGGCAACATGGAAAATACTACTACCAATCAGATCAAGTGATGAAAAATAATGGAATTATGTTGTGTTAATTGATATGATTATGCGCAATAAATTGTGCTCGAAACGTCATCAGTAAATATCACAGTATAACACCGTGAGATTTACCCACAATGGAATACAGGAATGTTGTCGTCTTAATTCCATCATTGAATTCATCATAAAGTTTTGTTTGAGTCATGATATCTTTTCTTTCACCTTTGCTGAATGTCTGTTTATAATCTAAACATTTTAGAGAACAAGTTTCACAGTGTCTATGGGACGTTGAACAATTGTCGAACAAGTCAAGGCCAACGTCTTTTAGCTCAGTGGCTTCGACAGCCGCTAGTAGATAAATCCAAAATTGGTATGCCATTTTTTTTAAACGAGTAATTGTTATCAGTATTATGATCATAAATTTAAATTTTGTGTAGTCACTAAATTCAAAGAGTTGTGCCGTTTTTCAAACTAGTCGGTTCATATTAAGTTAATGTGTTAACGGGTGCATAATACTGTTCCTGTTGTTCTTCGTTTATTTTTACTGTATCTATTTTGTGTTTAATTTCATCATATGACCTCATATCGCACAAGATTGACTCACTGATTTCACCAAAATCTTAGCATGTTTTTGGTGCTGAGATCTACCTGATTCCAACTAAAATGGCGGTTTTTCTAGTAGTTAATTTCCCTAGTTCCATTCCAGGAAACAGAACTCTATTCCCGGACCTTTCGTATTGTGTGTGTGTGTGTCTTATGTCCTAGTATACATGGATAGTCAGTTTTCACATAATAAATAAACAATTTCATTTGTAACTTCTACCCAAGTATATTCCGTTTTTTAGAGGAGCGGTTAGACTTAGTCGAATCATTTGTTGAAGAAACATCTATACGTCGAGGATTACATGAAGATTTCCTACGTCGCATACCTGACTTGCAACGTCTGAGCAGACGTTTACAAAAAAAGAGAGCTTCTGGTCTGCAGGTCAGCTTTTGATCAGTTATATTATTATTGTTATTTAAATGTTGTTTTTTAACAGACCTTAACTTTAATAGTCTGTTACTCTTCGAAGACAATATTTACTAAGTCCAGGGTAATTGTTTATCGTTTATAGCTAGTAAATAAGATTACTGGTGGTGTGTAAATAAACTTCTTCTACCCCTATTGAAGCGGCGTGTTGTGTAAGCATTATAGTTTCGGATGTCTCTTAAATAAATTTCATTTTTTTTTCTACTTTTATTTTATTTATGATTTATCCTCCGCCTGTACCGTGGTGTATCTTGGTTACAAATTCACCTACTAGGTCTAGTTAAAAAAATAAATAACATTAAAATCGTCTTTATGATTACTTTTTCTAGTCAACAGGTGTTCATGTGTTTCTGATTGTTTCTATGATCTAAAAGTTTATTTACAGGAAATTATCAAGTCCACATTTAGGTTAATCAATACCTTTTCTTTCTTGAATGATTTGCTTGTTTTTATTCATTACTTTTCTACTTCCTTTTTTCTCTGTGCCTTTTCAAAGTGTGGCATTTTGAACTGATGCACTTTTTCTGTGCCAAGTTCAACCGTTATTTGTCATTCACTCCATACAAATGATTATTCGTTTTGTTTAATAATAATAATAGTAAATGCGTTATTCTGGACAGTATGTATAAAATGTACAGAATTTTCAGAGGAGTTTATTGCATGGTATTTTCCCTTCGTACAATATCTTTGAGTAAAATATTAATTGACAGTAAATCCTGTGACACAGTTGTCTCTATGCTGAAGCACAAACCATTCCATTATGATATATCTGCTTTATCTTCCTCAATAAATCCACGATATCTGGTTGAAAGCCATTTGTAACATGTTCAGGAGTACATTTTGAGACCCAAGGACATAACTGGAGAACAGTTATCTCATGTAATGGGATATGTTGCTACCCACGATCAAACTATTCCTCAAGTTTAGTAGGAACTTGCGAATCAGGAGCTTTTAAACATTTTAAATACACACTAGAGTAGATAATAGCGATAGAGGTCATATCCCAATCGATTACAACAAACCGAACGAAAGAAAATATATGCAATTGATAGATGGAAGTTTATATATATATATATATATATATATATATATATATATATATACTTTGACAAGTATATCAACGCTAATAGTTCTTTGTTTTTCACCAATTACAATGTCTAAAGGTATTTATTTCTAGATTTTCAAGCTTTCAACTAGTATGTTTTCTCTGGAATCTGAGTCTCCTAATAGTGCTGTTATGAATGTTGGACTACATTTGCTGTTTGTGTATTCGATTTCTATACTAAACTTCATTGATCTGTTAGCTTAAGAAGAGTGTGAGGATTTTTTCTAAGAAGTCATTGTCATGGTCTGCTAAATCTTAATGAAAATGTAAATTCTGAATTTTTGCAGCTGACACATTCATTTTCATAGAACTATCAAGTGGTTGGTGTAGTTATAATCTTTTTGCTTTTCTTTATAGCCTTTGTAATCATGGAGTATTGCCTAAGCATATAATTGATTTATATTTGCTTTAATAACGCAAAGCTGCTTTTATCATGCACAAAAATTGGTCCTTTTCTCCTAATAAAGTCGATAATTTTCTATTTTGTGTATATGCGTGTTGTATTTTATCATTCATAGGATGTGTATCGAATTTATCAGGGTGTTATTCGCTTACCACATGCTATTGCCTTAATGAGGCAGTATACTGGCTCTAAACAATCAGTTGTTGAAGAATGTCTTATTGCACCCTTGCAAGTAAGCTGAATACCTTCTATTTTCTTAATCTTGTGCATATCTTTGTTCGCGGGTAGCTCAGCAATCTTGTCTTAGGAGTGACGCACTCACTCTACACATGTATGATACCTTGCAAAACTGCTTCAAACCCGGTTTTCATGCTGTTCGGTAATTGGCTTAAAAGGATTCATTGATTAATTAGTGAATTCAGTTTTATTTCACTATCACCTTATAACCAGTAAAACACAATTTATTTACCTTGTTTTTTTAATGAATGACGCATTTTCAGTTTTAATAGCAAAAAAAACTGACTAGGTAGTTGTTTTTGAAAGGGTCAAAGAATTGTTGTGGTCATTTCATGAGACGAAAAGAGCGCATGTGTCTGTTTGAAATCGCCAGAATTTTCTTTCGCTTTTATACCTTCTTATATGTATAGCATTAGTAATAAAAGTCTATACTGTAAACAAAGAAACTATTTGACCTTTTTGCAAAATAATTCACATACAGTCATTAAACACTGCTACTACAGAGAATGTATTTCTTCGCATTACTGCCTAAAGAAAATATACATAAATGCTTAATTTTTCAAGCACTTAGTCATTCCAATAATATACAGGAGCGTTTATGACTCAAAATCTTCACGTTGGCGCAGATGTGTTCACTTTTTGTCAGTTTCCAAATTATGTAAGGCTTTAATAACCTTCACTTAATTATACTGACTGTTAAACCTATGTACTTTTATGCTTATTCCTACATTCATGACTACTTTGTGAAAACTGGTTATCAGACGAACTATGGAGCAAATAGCGGAGTTTTATATCGAAAGAAGTTGTACAGTATCAAGTATCGTAGTAATAGTAATAATTATTATTATAGTAGTCATAAAGGTCGTAAAAGGAAGTGACGAGATTGAAAGCGGAATGACGGAACCCATTTGTGTTTGGCAAGCTAAATTCTGTGTCTATATGAACATATAATAAAATCTACTGTCTCCGTGTATTGTGATTACCACCAGCAACAACAAGTACTAATTACCATTAATAGGCAAAATATAAAGAAGTTCACCCCTTTCATTCACCTGGACATGTGTAACATCGTTTCAACTGCAATGTGGCATGGATGAGAATGTCAGAGTTAACCAGAATCAAGAAAGCAAGATATGTCTTCATTACTCTGTAATCGGTACTAAATATACTACAACTCTGCATAAGGAACAATGTCTAAATTTTCAACACTAGTTCCAATTCAGTGATTCTGTATCTTTCAGAGACGTGGCAGATGGATCATAAAAAGCACTTCCAACAGGCTGCAGATTCTTATCAACGGTTGGCTTCGCTGGTTCAATACTGGACACCAGATGGATGGTCTAACAGAAAGGAACAACACTAAGAAGCTGAAAATGAACCAACCAAGAACCTGCTGCTCACTAAATATGCAGGAAGAAATGAAAATGGAGTGGATATACTCCGAGAAGACTGTTGAATGACATCATCATCACACACAGGCCTTCAGGTGGGACCCGAATGAGAAATAATGACTTGCGCATCCGAAGGTGATATCTAAGGCTTATGGGAAGTCGGCCTGATCAGCAGCCAGTAATCGACTGTAACCCTTTTCGTATATATTCTGCTTTACTTGAATTTTTCATTATTACTGTATATGGTACATATCAGTGTGCTAACTAATATATGCTCTAATGCTCAGCTTTTTTTTACTTAATGGATAAATTTTTTTATCACAGGAATCAGTTGCTGATTTTTCACAGTTTAAAGAAATGGTGGAATCCACAATTGATCTGGACTATGTTAGTCAAAGAAATGAGTTTATTATTCGTGCGGATTTCGATGATGGTCTTCGGGGTGCGTTTAAATAAGTTTTTGGGTGATTTGTATGTGAAAGTTGCTAGAAAGTGAAGCATTTTAGCTTTTTGGTTTTTTTCAGGCTTTGATCTAAATCACCCTTTCATCTTTCCCATCCGAATTGGGGTCCTTGAGAAAACTTAAGTTGTGATGCGTATGTATTGCAGGGTGGCTATTCTGTAGATAATCAATTGTTCATGTTTTATGGACATAACACTATCGTCATCCGACATCATTCTCGGCATGTCTTATCACATGCTAAATGATACCATTGAATGCAAGTGACGCCACATAGCGAAACAGCAGAAGTCAAAAATCATTTTTTATTGTTTCTGTCTCAGTTTTATGCACAAATTAGTCAGTTTCATAGAATGAAATAAGTAACAACAATTAATTGAACAAACAGGTACTTTGTTATCTAAGAAGAGAAAAAATAAGATAAATGGTTGATTTTTAATGACAAAATCATGCTTCAATCTATATACTTTGTTTTACTCCCTCACGATATTCGTCTTTTTCTTTTTAGAACTGAGGGATAAACTAAATAACCTGGAGGAGCAAATTAAGGAAGAATTCGCACGAGTAAGTACAAATCATGTTTTGCGTGTATTAGCCGAATACCTGTTATCCGGTGTTATGTCCGTAGCACAGTACAATTTATCTTCTGTGCTATTTGAAATACGTTTGATAACATTATGTTGTTATTACACTGACTATTTTCATTAGTTTTATAACGAAAGTGTGCTAACAAGGAGTAGTGGACAGATTTAGAGACTGGTTTATTTATGCAGATTATAAGTCTGTCTATCAGCTGTTGTCTTATTGTGAGGAAAATTGGTGATAGTTTGAATCATAAATTACAGTAGAATTACTTTTTTGTGAAAAATTGAAGTTTTCAGTACTTCCGAGACATGTGGCATATAGTGCTTTTGTGACTCATTTATTCATTACTCAAACTGTGAATTAGTCTCATGCTTTTCATTTCACGCTTATTTCAGTAAGTTTGTTACATGTAAAGAAAGTGAGTATGAGTTTTGAATTTGATATCAGGTGTATTGAGTGCTGAGACTTTAACTTCCCAATGTATTTATTGCTTAATTAATTTTTCCGATTCACTAGGAAAATCACTAATAGTTGATCAAAGGAAGTGGGATTTCAGTTCTCTGTCCTATCATTAACTCTTTAATTGTTGTCTTAAACAGCATGTAATAGATAAGACTTGTCAATACGGTGATAACTAGTTTCCAATGTATCAGACATGTGTATATTCGTAACTCCCAAATTTCAAAGGTTTTCGCTGGCTTTCACTTAATTCCTCCTATCTCCTCTCTATTGGATGTCACTGTATTTTTGTTTGCTTTTCTTTGGTGTAGTATTTGAAAGTGATTCACTTCAACGCTTTGTGTTAATCCGTTTGTATTCTACGACAGTACTTCACATTACTACATACTTTCTGATATCCTGTTTATTGGATATTGAAGAAGGCCAAGTAATATAAGTACGTATCGGGATTCATTTTCGCTTTAGTAACCAATATAACTCGATACTATCAGTCGAGTCAAGTCATTTATTTACTCTAGTGCTATTTTTTTAGTTTTTGAGTATCAATGACCTCCAACTTTTCATGTATAATTTTGCTAAATATTCATTCTTACATTTTGCTGAAATATTATTACCCTAGTTTTTCAGCATCATTGTTTTAAGCTATTCAGTCATTGAACACTTGACGAAAAAGTTAATTGTCTTGGATTTGCTATTTTAAAACAATGTTCAATTAATTGTGTTGATTCTCTTTTCTTCCGTAGCGAATATATATCAAATTATGAATTATATATGCAACAAGTTACCATGTTATACAAGTTTCCTGCAGGTGGATTGGACGAAAAATTTAACTTTACGTACTAGTCCCAGGACACTCCTTTTTTCCACCTATAAAACAGTTTACAAATAATATACATTCAGAAATACTTATTTATTTGTTTATTGTTTATTTTGACAGACATGTTGCTAAGTTATTCGTTAGCATTAGAATAAATGAATCCAAATACTAGTTCACTAATCATCGTGACTTTTGGATAACTTACCAACATGCCGGATACTTTAATTACTTATTTGACTTCGTTGAATTTCTGTATATATGTGTATAGCTCAACTTCGATTGACATTCATTGATCTTTTACGGTCGACGTTTTTGTGTCTCGTATCAAACTGTATGCTTGTGTATATGTACCCTTTTAATGTGATTAATTAGTTGTGTTTACTTCCAGTTGTCTTAAATATTGTATTGTATTCAGCTGGTTAGTCAGAATACTGATTCACTTTAAATTCTGTACAAGGTCTGATTTTCTGACGAGACCGGTGTAACAAAAAGTCCTGAAATTTTCTCACACTCCTTCCAGACACCGATCGTATAACATGCCACTGGTGTTGTAACAATTTAATATTTGTCTTTATGAGAGTAGCACTTTTAATTATCTGTTAAGTTTGTATGGTGCTTTCACGACCAATAGTTTGTATGTATATCGGAAACAAAAGGTAGAATGAGAATGTTTTTCAACGGTTATTCGCTTTGTTTACTCTTAATGAATTTTTTTTCCACTCAAATATTTTGTAGTGTGCAAGGAAACTCAACTTGGAGCAAAACAAGTCTATCAAATTAGAGACCAATGATCAACACGGATATTTTATGCGTGTTACACTTAGGGTAAGTGGTCATTATTTTTAATGCGTACACTATAATCCACTGCTTAACTGATATAAATCTCCAAGATTGTTTATTTCTTAAATCATTTATTTAAAGTGTTTAAGAAGCAGTTAAATTTACGGCACTTAAGTTCACTTAGTGGGGCTGTGTGATACGCTTGCACAGTTCGTCAGTTGATCTTCTGCAATCCTTTTCCATCAGTTTATTAGTTGACCTCTGATTGAGTTTCTGAGAGCAATAAGTCATAACTTAGTTTTGATTGTGGTAATATTTTGCGGAAAATTATTGACCGTGAGCACACTAATTTTTAGTGTTCTTGTTCACATGTTATGTTATTTTCTCTAATTTTTCATTTCATCTTTTAATTACTTTAATTTGTTTCTGGTGTTAATCATTGGTTTAAACGTAGTTTGGAGGCGAACTTTTTGAGATATCATGGAAATACTTTTGATGCACCATTCTTGCTGGGTAGTTCTACAATCATTTTACCGGTTTCCCTTTTTGTTATTTTCTTTTGGATAGTGGTTTTAACCATAGCTTCGAAAGAAATTTTTCTGATTTTGTTGTTCGTCTGGGCTTGTAGTTAGTTTTCATATTCACTTTGTAAGAATTTTTATTTGCTTCATTCTACTGCAAATGGGTGAGCTGAGTAGTAATCAACGAATCTTCCGCAACGAATTGTTTGTCTTCATATCATCATTTTCAGGCTACCATCCCCAATTTCTTTATATTTTGCAGTATTAAATGGGTGGTTCTCCCAAAGTGAGCTTTACTCAGTCTATATAACTGACCAGATTATCTGTGGAAGAGATAGTTCTGAGAATAGAATTCTACCTAACAAATTGCTCCTTATTTGAAGCAAAGGTATACTAACATCATGAAGAACATAACCATGGGGTTACTTATATCACTAAAACCATTTGTGTCGATACATTTGTTGGTGGAGAGGATATGTACATGATACACTAGTCTGCACTAACTGGTATCGGTGGCACTTCGAAGCTTAGCTAAGTATAAACATTCCAGAAGCCTTTGTATTTCTTTGAATCCTGTGCATACCTTACGTAGTTGTAATTTTTCACATTGACTGATTGACTGGTTTGAACACAGAACTTTGCACAGTTCGACTTGCCACTCTGCATGTAACACACAAAGCAGAGAAGAGAATAAAACGAGAGAGAGAGACAATAAACAGAAGTGTTGAGGGGAAAAGAATAGTAATATGGAAGAACAATAGAGTTTTATTGGAAATTATAAATCACAAACAGTGAATGTATCTGCGCCATCATCAAGAACGATTTTCAGCCATATCAACCATTGTCTCTAGCCATTGGTTTTTACCATCCCGAGGAACGCAACCGGTCAGGAGGTCTACACCTCACTATGTAGCTAGCTGGCTTAAACTGATAGTTATGGATTTCACTGACTGAAGAAGCCATGTTTTGGTTTGATACCACAAGCTCTTTTCCAGCCTGTCCACCCTGTCAGCTAACATTGCCCGTCGGTAGAGAAAGGCGATGGCTAGGCATGCATAACACATGTCCTAACCACCTCTGTTGATGTAACTCCACAGCCTCGTCTGGTGATTTCCCCTCCTTATCTAGCACTCGACCGATGCTTAACCTCAATATTGCTCACCTTATTATACCACCTCACACGAAAGATAGAACGTAGACACTCATAATCAAAGACAACTAGCCTTTTCGTATCTTCCACTTTCAATGGCTTTGTCTCACTCACGGTCATAAAGGAGGACATAGCGAAATACTGAGCAGTACACACGCCCTTTGGTCGATAGCTGGATATCACGTCTACTAAGTTGGATATGCCAAACGAGCCTTGGGTATCCGTGCTGAGATTTCGTCAGCGATCAACCCACTTGTGCTGACATCCCAAATAAGTGAAATGGTTAACACACTCTACCGATCACTTCACCAGATATCTTTAAGCTAGGAGTCGATGTATTCCAACCCTTTAGCATCATCTTATATTTGACGGGAGCGAATCGCATGCCAAATTTTCTCAGATTGCTGCTCCAGGTGTTCAGAAGACTGCATTTTGTCAGCGTCTTCACCTAGAAGGAGGATCATAACATCCTCATATTCTAAGTCAACGAGATTATTCCCTGATGACAAGTCAATCCCTGAGTTGCTGAGGTCAGTTAGGTATAAGTCAATTAGTAGTACATCTATGATGAAATTAAAGAAAAATGAGGACAGTGGGCATTCCTGACGGAACGCCACTGGCTGTCACCGCTTCAAATGACAACTATCCGTATGCTCTCACCGGGTTGCATAGTTTCGAGAATTTTGCACATTATCGGACCGCATTGATTAACTACAGTGTGATCTTGGTTAATGTAAGATTAAAATATAAATTAATTATCATCAACTTGTTCGCAAAGGTTTTAGTCATGTAGTATTCCCTTTCGGATATTTCCTCTGAAAGATTATGTTTACACTACAGTGGCAGTATAATTAATATGCTACGTACTTATGCCTTAATTTAAACTTTGCTTAAATTTGTTATAGCATTTAATTGGTGGAATATATTTATTACTTTTTTTGATCCCTGCTGGTTTTAATCTTCAATTTAGCTATACTTTCTTCACTGAATTAATTTCCCCTTTTTTGTTCATTTATCTATCTTAATTAGAACTGTTCCCTAAAATAGCTTTGACAATGCATTAAATTTTATCATGTTTCTTTGTAAATTATCGTATTACCTACAAGGATGATACTTTACTAATATTATAGTGCTGATACCTTATAGTCTGCATTTCGTTCAGTCTCATAGGATAACTCCGAGAACATAAAGTTTCTTTACTTACACTTTTCTTCATGGGTGTTCTCATTGTTGTTGCATTCTTATGATATGTGGGTGCAAAGAATTAATCGCTCACGTATGTTTACCTTGTGATCTTCTCTGACTCGAAAACTGTTTAAGTTTGGATGCTGAATTTATGATGCACTTGAAAAATGATTACTCTTTGCAAGAGGTATTTTTCAAATCAGCTCTGCATCCTAATAACAAAGGTGAATAAAGTAGTGTTCAATGAATTCGTTAAATTTCGGTAGATCTCTTCGACTGAATACTCTACATATATATATATATATATATATATATATATATATATATATATACCATTAGAATTACATTGGGAGATATAAGATAAGTAAGTGAACTGCGTTGAATCAATCATGTAAGACGACAGGTGTGAATATTTTCCAGGTCATGTCCAGATAGATAAGGGGAAAGGGATGTGAGAGATCAAAATTAAGATAAAATGCATTATTATTCAGTTGCATCACTTAAATACACAATTAGTTATCACAGAAAGTACTTGAATATATCGAGAGTGGCGAATTGAGTAGTATTGATAATAATGATGATGGTAATGATAAAAATAATGTTAAAACGAGTTAAGATAATAGTACTTATAAAGGATAGTTTTTAATGAAGCAGGCATAATAATAAGGGGTTGAATAAAATATAATATAAAATAAAAATATTATTAACAATAACAGTTAATAATTAAGACGTATGAATATAGTATATTCGAGGTGGCTATCATTCTCTTTCGTACACAGAGACTGGGTTCCACATGTATATATATATATATATATATATATATATATATATATATATATATATATATATATAAAGAGAGAGAGAGAATTCAGCCAAAGAGCTCTACCGAAATTTGATGAATTCATCAAATCCTGCTTTATTAAGCTTTGTTACTTGTTTTAAATTCGTATCTGGAAATAAATGTTTCCAACTCTTCGTTCTGTTCAAAAAGATTTAAAAGAATTCACGCTTCGTAATGTCTTGCACTGTCTTAATACACTGTTTGACTTAATCTACAAATTGATTCTAATAAGTCTATTATATAATATACCTGATGAATTACGTTTAAACTAGCAGGTGCTATCAGTTTCAAAGACTATCTGTGCAGTGATAGTGATGTAAGTTATGTACACATTCTCAAAATTTTTTCTTGCATATAGTATAAGAGCATTAATGTATTTACTCTCTTGTAATCATATTTTTCACACCAACGTTTTTTGAAAACTATTTTCAAAGGATGAAAAGTGCTTGCGGGATGTTAAATCTTTTGAAATTTTGGATACTCAAAAAGGTGGCGTACGTTTTCGTAATGAAAAAATGACTACTTTAAACGAAGCCTATTCAGAAGTCAAACGAGAGTACACTGATGCGCAACAGTCCATCGTCGATGAAGTTGTTCGCGTAGCAGGTAAATATTCTTTCGGTTACGCCATTAATTTGAACACATCTACAGTTAGTTAGGATACAATTGGTGGATGGTGACTAGCAGTGGAATCCAAGATGCGCATTTCGTCCTATTTGGGACTCGTCAGCTGGATGTACCTGCATTTCTCAGTGAGTGATGATGTTCCCACTGAGAAATGCAGGTACATCCAGCTGACGAGTCCAAAATAGGACGAAATGCGCATCCTGGATTCCACTGCTAGTCACCATTCACCAATTGTATCCTAACTAAATGCCCAGACATCGTCGAAGCATCTGCACAAGAAGCCGACATGTCAACCTGAGACCGAGCACTTCGGTCCAATCAATCGACGGGAAAATCAAAAAATTCAATTCAATAACAGATCTACAGTTAGCCTAATTTTGATTTGATTGTCTTCCTATTAGATTAAGAAATTATATACTAATATTTGTTTTATCTGTCCCTACATTATGCTGTCTACAGTTTTCGGCATTAAATATTTTTAGAAGTATCCTACTAATTTTATTAATAAAAACACATTTGCGTTCTTGGAAGTGACCTGGTTGTCGCTTGTTTTTCTCTGAAATTCCAATAGTTCAAAAGATCGCTTTGGATTCAATAGAAATAACTAACTTTGTACACAGCACTAAACAACTGCTTGTTTCCACATTTTTTTTGCTAATTACCTTGTTAATTCATATTTTGATCCAACATGTGTCTAACAGTATGTTTACGTTACGTATAAGTACTTTTCCCTACTTTATGTACTACTTAGGAAAAAGGGTTTTATAAAAGCTGTATCGATTACAACTTGTGCATTTTCATCTTGCTTACTTTACAGCTGGTTATATGGACCCTATAAACAAGTTGAATGCTGATACTGCTCTTTTGGATGTCATTGTCAGCCTTGCTATTGCTGCTGTCTCGTCGTCTGGTATGCCGTATGTCCGTCCGACAATCCTTCCTCAAGAAAGTGGTCGTATAATACTCAAAGAAGCTCGACACCCTTGTTTAGAAATGCAAGACCGAGTCTGTGTTATTCCAAATGATGTTCATCTTGAACGAGGTACATTAGTATTTCTTATACTTTACTGTGTTTCATATCCTGTCGTATTAAATAAAGCAATAGCATGTCATCTGATATTATTTCTGTTTTACTTTGTTTTCTCTTCATAATGTTTAGAAAAACAGATATTCCTTGTCATCACTGGTCCGAATATGGGTGGTAAATCAACTTATATACATAGTGTAAGTCAATCGAAGTTAAAACATATTTCCAACCTTTTTGCAATATACATAAATTGACTATAGTTCTACTAAACCAGTTTCATACTCGTACTTGTTTTATTAGCGATTTTTGATTCTATGATAGCAAGATATATAATACACGAGATGTGCCGTGAATTTCTATTTAAATTTCTAAATGTGATATTTTATTATCTTGGAGATCTGTATGTAGTATGAAGGATTTTTGTCTTAAGTAATGATGAATATCGAAAGTTGATTGTATTCATCTGTAGAGGTTCATTATTCTTGTTAAGAATAAACTTCAAAATAATTTCCACTTGTATTCCAAACTCATCTCTTCATGAGTTATATCTGTAATTAGCTTTGTGATAAGAGAGATTCAAGTACTATTCACCAAATAATATTTGTCTGTTGCTTGAATTAATTTCAGGTCGGTGTTATTGTCGCTATGGCTCAAATAGGAAGCTTTGTCCCCTGTTCATATGCAGAACTTATGCCAGTGGATGCTATCATGGCTCGTGTTGGTGCTGCGGATTATCAATCTCGCGGAGTATCTACATTCTTAGCAGAAATGCTTGAAACGTCAGCTGTTCTACGAGTAAGTATATTATTTTTTTCCACAATGTTTTGCTGAGAAAAATATAGTCCGTTTTTTCTCAAGAAATAGCAATTCGCCTTCTGGTAACCGAAATTCTCGCTGAGGTGGTTGGTGCATAGTCTTACTCATTTTCGGATCCTCAGATTAGAGTGCGTCGATTCACATTACAGGCTATATGATTTCTGCCAGTTTGACTTGAAATTGAAGTATGCACTGAAGATGTCGCCTAGTAGGGCGATGAAAGCTTAAAGAATCCAAGCACATCAAAAGTCCTACCTGTCATTTCGAATTTTGTGCTTTCTACTACACCCAGTAATAAAACTGCAGAATAAATTTTTTGAAGTCAGTTTTAAGTAGTTTTGATTATCCACTTGGTACACCTATTCTTCATGTGATATCTGTTTGTTATGGATTTGACTATCTTTTCTGTTTTTGCACCTCATCCTTGTGATCGAAAATAGTGGAAATAATTATGTAGATACGTCGAAATAGAACGGACAGGTCAAAGTCTCAAATGAATACCAATAGCTGAATAATATATAGGGATGTAGGCAGATGTGACACTGATTAAATCTCATACTATGTGATTAAAAGGCTTGTCGCAAATATTTACAAAATGTAAAATGAACAGCGAACAATGCTGGGTTTCAGTTGTTCTTTTAAATCTTATGGAATGTTTACTGCGGGCCACCTAAACACCCAAAGTTTTCCAAATGGTTCTTTCTTTGTACCCTTTAACTCACAGTCCAGCAGAGCAGCCACAGGAGCCGCATTTCGGTATGCAATTGTTACTGAAATAAAGTGATAAATAATTTCTTTCTTTCTGGTAATTGTTTAAGAAACGGTTTTTCAAATCCCCTAGGTGAAATTTCTGTATTCATCAATCTGGTTATAAAAGATAAACACTAGCATTCATCCTTTCGTTTTTCGTGAAACATTTCGGGCCATGTGAAAAGATTGAATAAAAATTGCTACCTGCATTTTATTAGCGTATAATCACATGAAAGGAAAATACCCATATCTAGAATCCAATAATCGTCGGTCATGTAACAACAACTTGTAGGAGACAGGAATATTCTGTCCATAAAGTACTATCAGAATATTTTATGGGATCAGAGTGTATTAATTCTTATTTAATGTTAGCATCGTTATCTTATGATTATTCGTTTCATTAAATAGTAGTGAATTGTCAATGTACTAGAGGAAAACAATTAAGAGGCTGAATTCACCAAGCATTTTTTCTATCCTTTGTACTTTCTACACTTATTAATCTTTTGCACACACTAATTTACTGGGTAGTTTATGTGTGATCATGGGACTGGATTATTTTCGAGAATGTTGATAGATGGAAAATGTTTATATATGTCCAAACCAAGTTCATTTTTAACAGTTAGAAAAAATTTGGGCATTGGGTATATGATATTCAACATAATAAAGGTTTTTTTGTATTTCCCAAATGAATGAAAAACAATATCGTTTTGTTTTTCATTCATTGTGAAATGCAAAAAAACCTTTATTATAATGGAAAATGTTTACTCTTTGAATTTTCATACCGCGTAGGTGGATGATTTAATCATATGCTTATTAGTAAGTTAACGAATGAAAACTGACTTGTTTTTCTCCGATTAAGCGAGATAATGATGCTATTGTTTGAATTTGAGTTTCTCTGTTAAGATGTGGGCCGAGGTGTTTCGGGACAGATGGGTGTATACACATCTGTATAAGTTTAAGTGAATGTTCACTTTAAGGTTGTCGTATTCGCTAAAAAAAACCCACTCTTACAGTTTATGTGTTGCCACTGGATTATCTTGTTTTATGTTTACTGAATAGTAGGTGTTAATTATTTCTTTGTTTTTAAAGAGAAGGGATATTCGCGTTTTGTAAGTCTTCAAATTCCCTGTTTTTCTTTCTTAAATTCATCTATTTAATTTCAGGTATTTTTAATCTTAACTTATTCAACTTTGAATAGTCTTCTACAATTTGATTCAGTGTTTGCATTATTCTTTTGTACATTCTAAACATAAAAATCTAGTCAGTCACTCAGAATTCACTTGTCATTATTGATGAACTTGGACGTGGAACATCAACGTATGATGGATTTGGTTTGGCTTGGGCAGTTGCTTCATTTCTAGCTGGTCCGCAAGTTGGTTGTTTCAGCTTGTTCGCCACGCATTTTCATGAGTTAACTAGCCTGGCTTATCATATGCCGAGGCGTGTAGCTAATTTACGCGTTTTGTGCAATGTGTCACACGACGATGAGGCGGATGCTGAGTCTGAAGCAAAAGTTACCATGTTATATAAAGTGGAACCTGGTAAGACTAAATACAACTTTGAAATTCTATCAGACGATATATTTCTAGCCTAAACTGTTGTTGAATAACGAATATCCTGCATATCTCTCAGATAAACAAGTAATGTATACCTTGATGTATAGAGAAATCTCTTATAAAGAATTTAAAAAAATTACTTTACTAGTGGAACATCGGGCTTCAAGCTGGAGCCCTGAAGATTTGATAGCAGTGGTATGTATTTCTACGGCATGGGGTTGCTAGCCTCACATCCAACCTTCTCTCTACCACTAGTCGGCCGAGGATCGAACTTCGAATCACCTGCTTGGTTGGCAGGCATTCTAGCGCTGTGCCACCGACGCACCACAAAGGATTTTAGTATTTTCCTAAGGACTTATCATCAAATATACATTTATAATGAGTATTATTTTACTTAAAGTACAATATACACTTCAAGAGGTGTGTCACACGAATATAATAAAAAAGCACTTTTAGCAGAAATAGATTGAAGGGATAGTTGGCTTCCATTAGTAGTGAGCTTTTGTAAACGATAAGAGATGTAGCACTACATAGGGTTTTTTTGTTAATAATCTTTTAGGTGTATGCAGTCGCAGCTATGGTCTGGATGTTGCTCGACTTGCAGGATTACCTATGGAAGTGATTAAACAGGCTGAATCCGAAGCTTCAAAAGATGAACAACTTGAGTCAATATGGTTAAAACTGGATAAAGAGTTTTCCAGTACTCTTACAAAAGATTCTGGTGGTGATGTTATTAATGTAAGTAACTGCTTTTCATCTTAATTGTTTTTAATTTTCTTTCTTCCTTGTGTATTCCTTATTTCATTTGATGATTATAATCACTGAAGTTATTCAGAATACATTAATTGATTTAGTGTTGTGTTTCGTTATCCATATTATAATTGTTAGGGCTTAAAATTAGGTTTCCTACGCATTCAACTTGATGTAGTTGTGCATTTTTCAACCAAATTAACACGTATCTCTTTAGATTTGATACCGAAGTGATCGATTCACACTTTCCATCTTTATAATCTGGGAATTGTAGAACTAAGCCTACCGTCCGTAAAGGCTTACTAATTCATCGTTATAAAAATTAAACTGATAATCATCCCTATTTCCATGATCCGCCATGTTTTATGGGTAAAGAGCAGCTGACAAATAAACCACAGAAGCCATTGAACCATCTCTTCATTAGGATAATGATTGAATATGTACCTAAGCAACAAATATATGCATAGCAAGAGTTTCCAATATGGGCGAAAGATGTAGCCAAAAACCTTTCGAACGAACTGGCCTTATCCCATGTGCATACTTGGGTGTTTTTCTGAAAATATGCATCTTTTAGCCGCCTGAGTCTTTTTAGTTTATCTGGGGTAACATGCGATTTTTAGGTCTTACCCTTCAGTTTTGTCTGTCACTTTGGCTCATGTATTCATTTCTCGCTACCGTTTTTTACAATTACTGCATCAAACCGGCTGGTTATTCGCTGAAGTGTGAAAATTAAAGACCAGATATATATTTATGTCCTGAGCCATGAGCAAGATTTAGTGTTCGGTAGCCAAGTGGGGTGTTCAAACCTGCCTAATGATCAATTTTTCACTTACTTGAGACTGAATCGCAAAGCATCTAGTCGTTTCAATTTGCATGACACACATTGTTATCATTGCTATCATCATCGCGTAACTGTTAAAACTTTTTTCTCAAAAAATATACACAGGAGTCTCCAGCTGTCGCAGTTGCCAACGAGTTATGTCCTCGTATTGTGGAAATGTTGGATCAAGTTATCAAAGAAGCTGAAGTCAATAACAGTCCTATGTTGTCTGATAGTCTAGCGACAAAAGTTTCTGAGGCTACTCGTCAACTTCTTTTGGACAAACCAAATAACCTGCCATCTGATATCCTTCTAAGCTTAGCCTAAATAACTGCAAAGATTTTCATAAAGATATACATGAGAATTGACCGTCCTTTATTTTTGTATTACAGAATACTTTGTAGAAAATTTTATAAACTTGATTTTCTGTTCCTGCTTTTCCTTTGTTACATCTATAGAGATATATCTCATGCCTTTTAGTGTTTGTTTCCACCATATCATTATTATTTCATTCACCAAAGCTTTGATAAATTAACAAATAAATATATATTATCATACTCCTTCAGTTTATTTCGTTCAATATTGTTCATGTGGGGCAAACGATCTGGGGTATGTTATCATTCTTTTGAATTGTAAGTGTTCACTATTCCAAACTTAGTACATCAATCGATACCTGTGAATTGGCTATTAAGGTTGCTCTAGTGAAAAGTAACACCTGCACAAAAATTTGCATTTACTTGGAAGTTACTTAGCCGGGTCTCCTTAAGAATTACTCCCACTGAAGCAAAATGTTTGAGTTCATTGCATCTCAGTCGTAAGGGTTTTATCAGCTCATGGAAATTCTGAATTTATAACAAGTACTAACTAGAGTGTTTGCAATATTATATATATATATATATATATACATATTGTGTGGATGCAGATATTATTCAAAATATACACAGTCAGTCAACACACTTACATGACTACCGAAAATTCTCATGAGTGAAATTGTGAGAGCGTGTGTCGTGACTAGTCTAATCACTACAATTAGAGGTCTTTTCAGAGAAAAGTGCTATTTTCGCATTCGGCTCGACATTTTTATCATTTAATATTTTTGATGAGTCCAGTGACTACTAAGACTAAATTGGAAGGTCGTCCTACAAAACCAACAGACTTGTATCAACACTAACGTGTGCTGGAATTCACACTTATATTTCTATGTAAGTACAAATAAGGCGTTATATTCATGTACATTAGTAAATGACATATATTGCATGTATCTGTTTTTTTGAGTTTTGACTAAATTTACGTGCTTACGAAATATACATAAATACCTTGATATGTTGGCATTTAAAGTAGACGGTAATATGTGCTGATCAGTGGTCAGCATAATTTATGTGTGTATAATGTTCTAATTTTCTCCATCGCTGTCTCAGTTAGTTTTCTTAGAATTAATATTATCCACACTTTTTAACTTTGGAAATTTGGTTCAATAATCCAATACACGAAACAGCAGTGAACAAGGAAATTATGTATTTAGATTTACATGATACATATTACAGCTAAGGTTGGAAATTTGTCGAATTGCAATCCATTTCTTTTCTCAGATCATTGAGGATGACACTTAGATGAACATCGACATCTCTGCAGGTAGCTACAAAATGTCCGAATGTTAACATCTGTCAAACAGTCCAGATTAGTTTATTTTCTGTATTTCCTGATATTGGTCACTACTTTGAATAAATCCCGACGGTATTGTGGAAAATATAAGAGACATGGCAAACTTTTGTGCATACATAAGGCGGAGACAAAGTCTCCTAACAAGTTTCATTTTAATCAGACTTAGTACCAGGAGTTCTCGGCTTTCAGTTTTTCTGTCCCACCAGTTCAACCGTCAAGATAGTTATTTACGGAATACATTGATAGATTGTAAGAGGAGTGAGTTATGGGTTAATGAAATTTTGAAATCGCGTTTGTGAAAATGCCCTCTTTGAATGATATTTAGTGTCTTTGTATTCATTTGTTTGAAATACTTACTATAATATTCCTCAAAAGCATGATATTTCCGTGTGTATCGTATCACCACCGTAGCTGAAATTCACATCTGGGGATAATCAGCATTTCAACATACTTTCATATAACAAAAGAACTTGGGAACTATGGTAAAAGTCTACTTACATCACAGAGTCAATATATTTGGTGAAATAACACATTGACACAGTATTATTTACTGATGAGGCTTTGAGCACAATTTATTACATATAATCAGAATCACATAACTTGGCTGATAGCATTCAGTTTGCAGTAAACTGAGGACTAGACGTGTTATACTAGTTACTAACAAGTGTCCTGTCAAAGTATCCGATACCGTCATACAGGAGGTCAATCACGAATCCGGTTAACTCAGCGATAACATTTAACTGCAGCACTGGGTGACACGGGTTCGATTTTCAGGAAGACATTAGTTCTTTCAAGATCGCAGATATGCCTTGCTGATTGCTTACCAAAAAACACGAAACCCAGGTCCAAGTCTTCCTGTTGGTTCCCTCCAAACATCTAATGATTCACATAACTTTCCAACTTCGTCTACATAATCCCATTATTTCTTATCCCTTGACTTGATTACCAGTAATATTCCTCATATCTCTGGAATTGGCGATGAGTCATTCCTATTGCACGTGTAGACCCAACGAATAAAGATTTAGTAATCAACCTCTCTCTCCATCTACTCATATTACTTTTTAGAACTGTAACTCCGTCTTACCCGATTGTATATTAATTCATGCATTGCAATTACTGAGTTTTTTTTCTTAATTACTCATCTTCGCGGGGTCAGTCATTCTACATATAGTTAAATTCCTATGTTACGATAATCTGATTTATCAGAAATACAATTCAACTTCAAGAATATTTAGAAATTGCTAGCTAAACTGATTTGCTCTTGCGGGAAAAGGAATTCAGACAGAATATCTGCTATTTTGCCCATATAAATCATCCACTTTTATCTAATTCGTTTGCCTTACCCTAACTGGAAGACTATAGTTTCATCTTAAATCTAAACCTGTAATACTTTCACGACCAACTGGTGTTATGCAAGTTTAAGGTTGTCATTGTTAAGTTAGCTAGCTAAAACCACAATTATTACATGAGGGCTGAATACTGTATGAAGGCATCCATTGTGGCGTAGATGAGGCAGGATTTCTAACCTGGGGCCATCGAAAGAAGGTCAAGTGATTAAACCAATGAGCCACATCATTATTGGTGAAATATTATTCATAACCTAGAATACATTAATTAAGATGAGGTAGTTTCTGTAGATCTGGATGGTATGGGAAGGTAGAACATCCCACCTTTCCGTAAGAGTACCATTCGGGCATTGTGGTACAGTACTATCCCATGTTTCTTTGATATGAAACACAGTGATACGAAATTATTAACTGGATGAAGTTTCGAGCATAAATTATTGCCACTCGTAATCATATCAATTTAGTCACATAGCTTCACAATCTGTCTTATACATATTTTTTCTCTCTTTCTGTCTCTCCAGCTTCCCTTTGTCGCCACTTTGCATATATCCAGTATAAACGTTGAATCATTCCGATTGCACGTTTGCGGTGTTGAATCGATAAACAAAGCTTCAGTGATTAACCTCTCTCTCTCTCTCTCCACCTAACTATATTACTGTTTAACATTCTCACCCTGTGTCACCCTATATTGTGATTATATGCAAGTGAATGCAGTGCAGTGGTTGAGCTTTTTCTAGGTTATCTAACTTATCAGGGTCGGTTATTCTAGCTCTAGCTAAATTCTTATGGTTTAGCCATCTAATTGACCTCCGCCTCCTAGTTTGACCTGTGTAACTGAATGTGAGGTCAATTATATTATTTCTATATAATGTATTACATTTCTTAATTGGGTTGATCAAATTATCGGAACATAGGAATTTAGCTAGAGCTAGGATAACTGACCGTGATAATATATGTGTAAAACTTGAGTACCGTGGTAGTAAGTGATTCCATATTAGCTTGTTTATTAATACCGTTTCACTGTGTGATACATCTAATAAACAATTCCATATTAGTTTGTTAATAAGATGTATCACACAGTGAAATAGTATTATTTACTGGATGACGTTTTGAACACAATTTATTGTTCATAATCATATCAATTATAATCACACGACTTTGAAACTTGAGTTTTATAGTTTTCTTTGTCTTCTCCTATTTATCGTAGGGGTAGTGGAATTTTCCAGATATCTGGGACATGTGTTGAATCATAACTATTACATGTATTTGCAGTTGATTCGATAACCACATCTGTTATCAATCTCTCCCTCTACCCTGTGACATTAGATTTTAAAACTGTCACTGTCCCATCCTATTGTATGGTATCGTGTGATTGCATGTAATGCTTAAGCTGAACTATTCTCTAGATTTCTTATCTTATTCGGGTCAACCAATCTAGATTTTGCTAAGTTTTTATGTTCGGCTAGTCTGACTGCCCGTGTACTACTGTAACAACAGAAGACAAGGGCCAGGCAACAGATCGTTTTATTATGAAAATCAACACGTATTTATACATCTTTCAACTACATTATTATAGACAAGCGCAGTCATCTGATTGGTTGTTTAGGTAGACAAACGCAGGCTTTTGATTGGTTGTTTCGGGATTCCTTGACAAATAGAGTTCTCTCTGCGAATCATATTTTGCCACGTTAACTTTGCTGTGATTGGTTGTTGACTCAGGCTTGTTCACGGCCCATATTAGTGACCTAGACCTTAACGTAGATTAGTGCCAACCAATCGGCTAGCAGCCTGCTCTCACCACACTCGTCCCCCCGTCAAATACGTGCGACTGAAGTCGGCTTGATCTACTTGGTGCAGGCGTCATCGTTTGCTTGTCTCGCTGTATCCATTTCTGGAGCTCGCTGACGTTCACGCGCCTCTCATTGTTCGCCAATGCGACTGTGTCTGCGTAACCCCATCTCGAAGTGACCATATATGGTCCTTCCCACTTTGGAAACTGTTTGCCTGACCCTGTCGAACATTCGTCCATACTTCGGCCCACACCTTCATATGCTGCTTTCGCCCGACCTCCCAGCAGCGTCTCAAGTAGCAGCTCCATCGCTGACATATCTTGAACGCCACTCAACTGCGCAGAAGCCTTCAAGTCCTGCCCGAAGATCCATATGTCTCCATCAAAAACTGCAGGGTATAGGCTTTTCATTTGTCGGTAGGCAGCGACACCAAATGTAACAACAGAAGACAAGGGCCAGGCAACAGATCGTTTTATTATGAAAATCAACACGTATTTATACATCTTTCAACTACATTATTATAGACAAGCGCAGTCATCTGATTGGTTGTTTAGGTAGACAAACGCAGGCTTCTGATTGGTTGTTTCGGGATTCCTTGACAAATAGAGTTCTCTCTGCGAATCATATTTTGCCACGTTAACTTTGCTGTGATTGGTTGTTGACTCAGGCTTGTTCACGGCCCATATTAGTGACCTAGACCTTAACGTAGATTAGTGCCAACCAATCGGCTAGCAGCCTGCTCTCACCACACTACTAGTTTGACCT